GGACCCCGTATTCGCGATCACGTGGTAAGTATCAACGCGTTCGTCGACACAGCACAGTACTTAGACATCTTCAAGGATGGAAAGGAGAACCTGGCCAAAAGACTAACACGTCCCTTGTTGAGACGCGCATGCTCCAAATAAGTAACGGCTTCGACCAAATCAAGGCAACGTTTCACGCTGTCACTGGGTCACTTGAAGAAGCAGTTGTAGCTCTGTCATAGTGAAGACTCACTTCAAGCTCAGCTCTATAGAACTTGCTTTGCGTACAGTCTGCGTACTGATATGCCATTGTATACCATGACATCCAAAGACTACACTCACGGTGGTGTTTTTAGAAATCTATGCCCGTCAATTGGTCATCCTTCCCTGCACGCTGATCTGCGTCTTCTTTCTCCACACCTCCCGGCGCAACACCCAGCCACTCCCCATAGTACACGCATTCGCTGGGTTCACAGGACCACCCGGCTTGCAGAAGTCGAACGTCGGGCACCGCGTGCACGGCGCTTGGCCAAGGCCTACCCCACCCGCGTACTCCTGACGAACCGCGCGGTACACATGCGCCCCGTATTCCAACGCGTCCATGTCGCCTGCATCCAAAGAGTACTGCAGAGCAGGAGAGGAGCGTTTAGATTTGCTCTTGGACTTGGACTTGGAACGGGGACGCGCGTCGGTGTCTGAGTCGGACGACGCAGTACGTGAAGACTCGGACTCGCTGTCGCTGTCCTCGTCGGAAGAGTACGATTTCTTTTCTTACTCTTGGATTTGCTCTTCTTCTTGCGTTTTCCTCATCGTCACTTTCTTCGTCACTCTCCTGTTTGCTCCGCTTCCTCCTCTTTTTCCGTGTCTTGTCTTCTTTCTCACTTCCGTCATCCCTATCGCTCTTGTCGCTCTCGTCCTTGCTCTCCTCTTGCTTTTTGACTTGCTCTTGCTCTGCTCTTATCTTTGGTCTTCGATTTGTCTCGACTTCGACCTACGGTCATCTTCGGGGTCGGAATCCTCCGAGTCAGACTCTGCGTCCGAGTGGCTGCGCTTGGAGCGTTTTCGTTTGCGCAACGAGCCCTCGCGTTCTTTGTCCTTTCGCTTGCGCTTCTTGCTACTGCTTGAGCGCGTCTCGTCGTCACTGCCGTCTCCTGTGGTGGCTTCCATGTTGCTTTCCCACATTGCCGCGCCGAAGGTCGGGAGCTTAAATATGAGCGTTAGTGTCATGGAGATGAAATCATACCGAACCGGACACGAGGGTGATGCCAAATAAAGACTTACTCGCTCGACATCTCCATCCAGCACGAGCACGCCGAGAAGCATCTCTGCGTGCTCAACCTCGAGCGTCGTCTCCGTAATGCGACTTTTGCGAAGGAAGTTCAGCACCTGTGCTGCGGTGGGATAGGATGGTGCGCACCAATGGGGTAGAGAGGTGCATTATTTGGTGTAGAGCTTGAGGCTTTTGGCAGGCTCTACGGATTTGTCAGCACTTCGCGGAAGTGGGAGGGAAACGACAGAAAGGTGACGCACACGATCACGAATGAATCGCAAACACGCGCTGCATAGTAGCTTGATGAACTCGGTGTCAAGCTCATTATCGGTGTACCATGGCCCTCCTGTCATCTTCACCGATGGGTCTAGGTGATAAAGCATGTACATTTTGCGGGTGGGAAACTGCGGATCGAGTAGCTTAGCGGGTGTTACCACAGACAAGAGTTATACTCACCTCGACGGATTTGGCAGCCTTAATGAGCTGCTTTTGTGTCAACGACTTGAGGCACCGATCAATGACAGTCTGGTGGAGCTCGGTCTTTGCTTTGAGATGTTTCGTCCATATCCCTGCGTTTGTTCCGTAAGTGATGCAGTGGGGCCATGTACAAGCTACACACCTTCGTTACCAGAAGCTTGGATGTGACTGAGAACCATGCTCTCTTCGCCGCTCATATCCTTTTTCCTGAGTCGATAGTATGAGGGAGCGTTAACAATCACAAGCAGCTGTGGACACTCACACTTCCATCTCCTTCTTCATGACGGCCCTGAACAAAACATTTCCCTTCGTATCCTTCATCGCTTTCAACAGACCCTATCGACGGCCTATCAGATATGCACAACGTTTGGATAGCCTTGCCCGAACATACCGTGGCAAGCAAGAAGTTGATCGCGTCCATCCGCGCCTTAGAATCGGGAACGAGAGCCTCACATTCTTTCGGTGTTATGCTCTGTACATCAGAAAGAAATAATAATGCATCAGCACTCAAGTGCTAGTCAACAAGACGCGAAATATGGACGAACCTTTCTGGGATCTGCGAGAGCAGCTTGGTGAATCTTCTGCTCTTGCACATTGGGCTTTCGACTCGCAGCCGCGGACGACATCCTGGTCGTATGCAATCGGGATTGCAATATATTTCTTTGAGCTCTTCTCAGATATCTGTGCAGTAAATAACTACACCTCTTCTGACAGACTGAGACAAGTTGGACGTGGCTTCAAAGCAAGCTTCAAGTTACCGCCTTGGACGCTTGATTGCTTAGTCATCTCAGGCGAAACACGGTCACGTGCCAAGTAACACCCGTGTCGAATATCGATCGCGTTCCAGACATCCTGCCCACTGGTCTATCGATTTGGAAACAGCTGTGAATAATAGCATAGATTCCCGACGCAAGGCGCCCAGCGTCGAAGCACTCTTCGGATTGTTTCAGCACGCCGGCACTCAGGTATGAGATCCCGTAGAACTGGAGGAAAGTCGGCAGCAAGAATATAGGTAGTGTACATGCATAATCAAGCCCCCCCAGAATGAGCAACTAAACCACTACAATGCATTCTTCCTCTCCGGCGTGTAGACTCCGTGGAAGCCAAAGGGATAGATGGTTGACATCTCCGCCCGCGCGACTTCCTCCATAGTCTTCGCGTCGATCACAACAAGCGCACTCTGGCCCGTGCCCTTCTCAGGCGTAGAGTCGAGCACAATGGACAGCAGAACACCATCGTCTTCTGACGTACCTCCGGGGCGTGGTGCAAAGATCGGTTCAGAGGGCGCGTGCTCGACGGGGCGCCATATCTTCGCGTATTCGTCCTCCTTGCCCTCCAGACTATCACCGGACGCAGCGGCAGACACGACCGCGTGCATGTTGAGCTTGATGACACCGTCGGAGAAACCGCTGCCAATGGGCCGCCTGGTGATGCCGTACGCGTACTGATACGCACGATGGTACTTGCTCGGGGCGAGAGTCGGGAGCTCGACGCCGGCGCTCTGGGGAACTGTGAAGTCGATCTTCGCTTCCAACACTGGGATGCTGCCTTTCTCCGCTACCTGCAATCAATTAGCCTCGTGCCACGATGGAGACGGTGTCCACTAATACCTTGGCGGGATCGAATAAGCGGAACCTCTGCGCACGGCCCATCCATGGTTTGCTATTCGGGCTCAAGTTCCTCATCTTGTCAAGGTAAAGCATATCAAGCACGCCTGTATTGGGGTAGACGGAGAGGTCGATGACAACATCGCCGGTCTCGGGATCGTCATACGCGTTGAGATAGTGGAAAGCGAAGAAGGGATCAGTCTGAAGTGCATCTGTGTCATTCTCGCATGCATCGAATCAGAACGCAGTGTTGCCTACCTTGTACTTTGCCACCACCCCGCCATTGTGCCGGTCGACGACGTAGAAGACCGATGATTTCTCCGGGTGCCACGTCTTCTCAATGGAATCGGCGACATTATTGGTGGACAGCATGGACAGGCCAAAGCTAAGGAACAGTCGTGCATCAGCGCGATGTTTCGCAGCAGCCCAGAGACACGGAGCACTTACTTCTTGATGTGCGACTGCCAAATGCAGACAATGACGAAGCGGCTCGTCATTGTCATTGCGTGAATGTAGGCAGGGGGGCATCCTTCTCGCTGATCGTAGCCAGGACGTCGGCCTTGCCGTTGTCGCCGCGAATCTTGAACACCTTGTACGTGGACTTCACCGCGAAATCCAAGACAAAGTTGTAGAAGTCCCCTGGATACGCATTGTATAAGTATTGAATTTGTATGAGGCAATTTCGCATCAGAGCTAACTCACCAGTCTCGGGGTCGCGGCATGCATGAGCCGCGCTGAATAGCCCGCTCAAACGTGGATCAATGTGCGCGTATGACACTAAGTCCAGCGGCTCCAATGTCGTTGGGTCGAGTACTTGAAGGAGGTTCGCGTCCGTCTTCGAAACAATGACACGCGGGCCCATGCGATTCTCGTCGTCGTCCCTCTCGCGACCAGGCAGACGGATTCCCGGAAAGTCCGGCGTCATCGTCACGGCGACGTTCGAGAGCTTGTTTGTGCGCTCACGCTTGCTCATCGCAGCCACTGCGTCGTCTAAAGACGCGAAGGACGTAGAAACCTTCTCGAAGAAGTTCGCGCACGGATCCGTGTCGCGCTGGCGCTGCGCGAAGGAGAACAGCTTCGGGGGGTAGTCTCCCACCTCCGCGATCCGCTGCTCGAGGTCCGGCGCGCCCTTGTGTGAGCGATACAGAACGCGCGAAGACTGTCCCTCAGAGGCTGGGAGGATTTCGAAGCGGTGGTGCATGGCGATACCGTCGAACCAGTGCTGGATCTCCGTCACATTCGACGGGTCGGAGGCTGAGGGGATGCTGTAGGTGCCGGGGCCGGTGCGGTAAAGGATGCCGCTCAGCCAGGGCGGGAAGTCGCCGCGGATGGTCAATTCGACGGGAGTGAGCTGCTCAGGGGCATTCTCGAAGCCCGTAGCCTTCTCGCGGTGGCAGATGCGGTATCTGTGGACATTGCACGATGTTTGGCTCTGGAGAGATACGAGATGGAGTTGGAGGGATTGCTTGTAGATTGTGAGCGATGCGCTGCAGAAACTTGCGGCCTCTTGGTGCTAGGGTGGGTCGCATTTATACGACGAAATGGTTGGCGTCAGGGGTGCGGCAGCCATTCAATTCAAGGTCCAGGTCGAAGCGAGACTCCACGGACTACGACTGTGTCGAACAGTCTCGCTGCGGGAATCTCACCGGTTTCGTTGATCAGGCCAGAGGGCACAGCACTCGCCGAGTGAACACGAATAAGGGTCGGCTGTTACCGCAATGATTGATATTAGAAGTCGATAAGGCGAGCAAAAAACATGCAGCATTGTCAGTGAACGCGTAGACGGGTGCCGCGAAAGTCGAAGTCGTTCGGCGACAGCCACACGACTCGGGCTGGACGGGGCTCGTTCAACGTGGTGTGAGGTGATTTGGCCAACCGTTCCCCGATCACGCTCGACGCCCAAGAGGGTTACAGTGCCTTCAAAAGGTCAGCAGGCTGTGTAGCCTGATACTTAGGAGCTGGTAGGCACCCGGGACAGGATTCCTACACACTGTCACCAGAGGATGTACTGTCGTGCACATGAAAACGAGAACGAGGTGAATTCTAGCTGAACAGGTGTCAGATTTGTTACTAGGAGGACCACGGTGTACATAGCGCCTTACTGTGTACTTGACTGCTCCGAGCCCGAGTCGGAGTCGGACTGTTGCCATTACACATTTAATGGCATTGGTACGTCTGGGTAACGGTACGTCTGGGCCCTAGCACTGATATCACCGAGTGCTGAGCGCTGAGGCTGTTCCAATGTTCAGACTGCATCAAATGAAGCATCGACACTGAGTAAGTACTGAGTACTGACTCGGAGCATGAGTCGGTTTCAGATTGACCGACCTTTGAATAAATAACTGTCATTGCCGGTTCGATCGGAAGAAACGAAGTCTCCCCTAGGGGTGAGGGCGGTCTTCTGGGGGGGAACGTAAGTATAGGAAGCCTTGACAGATGGCAGTACAGTGACTCTGAGGGTGGAAAAGTTATCGAAAAAACAGCTACTTAGGTAGACTTATAAATTGTTTAAATCTTGAGATCCCGTGAATTGCACGTGGGCGCGACCAAGCGCGACGCGCCTCCGAGGACTCTCCTCCTCCTCCTCCTCCTCCTCCTCCTCCGTCACTCAGATATCCACGTTCAACTGGTTCTACTCAGGCTGTTACCCAGTATGGAACTCACGACTGATTCTTATGCCGATACAATGCGCTCTTCTCTCAATGCTCAGGATCCGGACGACACTGACTCTGATAGTGCTAGCGTCGACGAATCTGCACTTCTCGTCTCAGAAGATTTTGAAGTCGGTCCTGCTTCTAGCTCGCCAATGTTTTCTTCGCCTCTTGTGGCAACCCCGCCTGAACACAATGCTTGCGGAGCCAGGGCAGACTCACACCGGTTCAATGTCCCTTCGACGTCTCGCGCAGTCTTCGTTCCTTCGTCCACAACACAGCAGCGCATATAGCCTTGCCTGAATCCGATTCCATGGACACTGGATGGATCAAAGAATCTCAGGATGTAGGTTCCTCGATTACCGAGCACGAGACACCACAGGATACGGAAAGCCAACCGCCAGATCACTTGTCCAGCCCTACATCGACTCATACAAGCTTTGCAAACCGTCTTCACGAACTGTTGCTCACTGTTGCGCGAGAGCGCTCACTGCGAAGAGCTGCATCTGCGGTGTCAAATTATAACGCCAACCCCGATGGGGCTACTCAGGGAGCAAACGGCAGCTACGATGGCGAGAACAGGACACCCCCTTCCGTCGACATAGCGCATACCAACTTCACCGAACAATTCGGCTCGGCCGGCGGTGCGGGCAGCAATACCTGCTCTCTGCACTCTCAGGCGTCTGCTTGTCACGAAGACCAAGCCGACGCACGCCAACCTCTCGTCCGTGTGGGTTCTAACGTGCTTCGTATACTTCACTCTGTAACAGGCAACAACGTCGAACAAGATGTCTGCTCTCCTGATTACTGGGCCTACTTCTCGGACTCTGATTCTGCTGCACTGGGCTCTGACTCTGGCTGGTCGCAGACTTCCGATACCAACATCTCTTTTCCAAGTGCATACAGTCACTCTGAAGAGCCTGGAGCCGAGACTGAGGGATTCAAGAGCGCATATATGCAGTCCTCTGTGCTTTCTGTGGATCCTAGTGCGAAGCGGTCAAGCTCTATCTCTCCGAAGCTAGGAAAGCGTCCCCTCGACCCTCATTCTTCAGAGCCAGTGGATTGTGATGCCTCTTGTCCAGATGATCGACGTTCTGCAGACCTGGAGTCCCCAGTAGTATCTGGACCACAAAGAAAACGTAGCAAGTATGACTGCCTGCATGACGATCCTCCCGAATTCTCGACTCGCTCAAGGGTTTTCTCTCGCAAGTCGTCGGCAGTTTCTGCGTCCAAGCAGCGCGGCGACGTCCAAGGAGGAGCCGACAGATTCTTGCCGAAACGCCGCATGTATGCGCACCGTGCCGCTAGTCTGCGACGCGCGGACTCCTTGCGGAGCGAAGAAGCGTCGTGCGCGCGCGATTCGACCGACCTCAGTGTGCGCATATTCCTACATCCTCCGCATGTTAATCTCACCGGCGAGCTTCACAGACTCCGAGGCCCGATACGGGCGAGGGTCCAGACTGCC